GAGAGAAACGACCGCCAGCTTGTGAAACCACCATCTCTATCCTATTACAAGCTCACCACCGAATCTTGTATCAATGCCTAGAAGATCTTTTAATTAACTAAATAACATCAACTTTTCATTAATTGATTTGTTTGGTTTTGGACTATATATTAACCCTACATATCTACTTTACCGATTGAACTCTTTAAAAAAAAAGTTATATGTTTTCATATCTCTTTTCTTTTATTTTCCTTAAACTTAACTTTTTAAACAAAAAGTAATGGTAATGATTTGTAGTTACCAAGATATAGTGATGCTAATGTATGTTAATGTCTAAATTATCATAGTAATTATTACATTATTATGATAACATAAATATAAGTTATCGATATCAAAGTAAAAACATATGAACAACCATGTATATATTTATATCTTGCAATATATATTTTCAACATGTCACTATTATCCAGTTAATATTATCATGTATATATGTCATGTATATGATATGTTTACAAGTAGGTCTGCACATATGACAAGCCACTAAAACTATATATGATATGTTTATAAGTAGGTCTGCACATACGACAAGCCACTAAAAATATCGATTCAGGCCCTTCAAATTTAAGGGTCTTTTACCTGAGCATTTGTTAAGTTTTTTCACATATGCTCAATTGTTCTACAAATTTTATGTTTGGCTTAAAAAAACAAAATTAGTGGAATTTTATATACAAACTAAAACTAAACATTAGAGTAAAAGGGAAAACGGCATTACAATTTTCTAGTTTCTTCTTTGACATGAGACATCTTTTGCATGTATGTAAGTCAATTTGTTTTTTTTACTAGTGAAAATCATAGTTTTTGCATGAATGGCATATTTTGTATCATATGAAAATGATGTACTTTAGTAATACTATATGAAAAGGGCTTGTTTTTAAGCTTTGCATGGCAACTAAATAATTTACTCTATAATTGATGAAGTGAGAAATACGAGAGAGGGAAAAGGAACTAAACCAATTCTTAAGCAGTCAACATGTACTCGTCCAAAACTTTTATTGAAATTGGGCTATTGACAAATTGTTGTATCATATTGATCAAACAGATACATATGATCTCAAAGAAGTAATGTATTCCTCGAGAAATCATTATTGACATAAATTACATAAGAGCTTCTAGGTTTTAGTAAGGGGGCATGGACAAAGTTCTTCAGTGATACACTTAATTCTTACTAACACTATAGTGTTTTTAATCTTTATGATACTTATTCTAATCCATTGGTTGTAACATAATTCTTCAAAAGCCATACACCCACTGTAACAAACCCATCCACATGGCAGCTACAAGCGCTGCAGCGCATCGACCCTAACCTCTCTCCTGGTCCACAGACCCACATTGGTCCACCAGGTAGTTTATTGGTGCGCCTGGCGTTCCTCGAACCCAGGTCCTCACCCTTTAACAACCTTCCCACCGTGGAAGTTGTCACCAATTGACATGCAGATCAGTT